TAAATTGATTCTGTTATATGTTAGTATGTATAATACATATACATCCGGCATAGCTAGTAACATAGTACAAAACAATGTCGCTGACGCTGTCTGCCCCTATGTATACTTAAATCTTTAAAACTACGCAACGGATGTTAAAGAGGTTTTTTTAATAGATAGATAGAAGTGATTCTAGAGGAAAGTTTATATATGTAATACATGTACATCCGTGCGAGGCCGGGTGGGTAGCTAGTTATTATTAAATTACAATTTCGCTCTCTTGCCTCACATATTTTGACCAATTTTTGTAGGTCAAAATCAAGAAAATATATTTAGTTAGATTATAAACCAAAAAAGAGAACTTCTATCACATCTACTTTTAACCCCTTACAATGCTTGTTTTGCACTAAAAATTAAAGATAATCTCTAATTTCTTTTAAATCGTTTCAGTAGTTTTGGCCTAAAAGTGCGACAGACAGACAGAGTTACATTTTGATATGGGTTTAACACTAGATGTTAAATTCTGGAATAAAAACCTCTATGTCTTTTTAAATTACATTTTTTTTTGTGTATGATAATGGAATAGTGCCCGCCTGCGCTAAAGGTTTACCCTGGCGGGGCACCAGTGGAGGATAAGATGAGCATGAAGTCAGGTCAGTTAGCCCATCGTGACAAATTCACCAAGAATTCATCACGATGGTTTCCAGGGAGAACCACGTGGAGGTCGACCTAACATGGTAATGTACCATGTTAGGTTAGCTAGCAATAGGAGTTACTAGTTCCCATTGTTATCAATCCCCTTACCCCCTTTAAATTATACTGTAATAACTACTATAGATGATAGCAATTTCGTAAGTACGATCTAGATCAGGGTAGGCGAACCATTGGCACGCGTGCCATTGACGGCATGCGGCACAATATTTTGGGCGCGTCGTCGATCATAAAACTGTTTGAAGAAGCTGGCTCATTTTATTTTAACAATATTTTCATAAAAAATGATGAATATAAAAACCGTTTGACAGATAAATCCAGTTCAGCATGCATTTTGCTAAAAGTAACATCGTACAAGCCTGACATAAATTATTTGTCATCTAACCTGCAGCAACAGAAGTCACACAAATTTTTATTTAATATTGAATTTGTACCTCTTTTCTTTACTTTATTGCATAGCGAGTTTTGATAGTATTTATTATTATTATTTTCCAAATAATCAGAAAGTCAAAATTATTTTATCTCACATCAATGACTCCATTAAACATTTTTTGGAAAAAATGGCACCTTAATGCATAAAGGTTCTCCTACCTTGGTCTAGCAGTTTAGCATATCGCCTTACTTCAGAAAGTCACGGTTTCGATTCCTCGCATGATACAAACATTTGTATTTATGAGTATCATTCTTTGTACTGAGTATTTTGTATTTTATATTATGTAACTTAACAAAAAAAAGTATTTCTATCAGTTGTCTAATACCCATAACACAAACTTACCGAGCTTGGGACTAGATGGAACTGTGTGAACTGTCCAAGGTTATTATTATTAAAGGTACATAAAGAAGCTTCAAAGCGTTCGTGGCTCGGGTCCCCACCGACATGCTGCCCACCTTCATGAAGGAGGACTACTGGCAGAAGAGGCTGGTATATCGACGATATCGTGGCAGATTGCCGTAGTCAGTCGTGACCATAGAGACAATTTTAATTTACATTTCATTATTATTTCTTATGTATGTTACTCTATAAGTTATTTATAATATGGACCATGTACCAATTAAACAAATAAAATAATAAAATACAGTTTTTTGACAAAAAATATATTTAAAAATTTCTATTTCAATAAGTTGCAATCACTGTCACATCACAATACCTTCATTTCGTACATTAAGACGACACAAAACGTTCGTATTTCATAATAATAATAATAATATAATAATAATACAATAATAATGATATAATTACCTACTTACATCTACAATTGGCACTTAGTGAGCACAATGATATAATTAAAAAATAATTTACAGTTTCTATTTACAATTAAAACATTAAAAAGAGCACTTATATGTTATTATGACAGTTGACAAATGATTTTGACAAACAACAAAATAAGTCTTCGTTAAGACTTCGATTTCCGAAAACTATTTATTTTTTGAGATATAATCAATTCATAATTGAAGTATTATATACTAGACTGACTTATGTTCATCTGCGAAAGAGGCAATTATTATGAATATAGGGGTATAGTCCCCCTATTCTCACAGATGGGGCAGTAATGTCATTATGTCGTCTAACAGTTGAAAGATTATGTTATACTATAACACACATGTATTATACATTTATCCAAACGGGAGTTGTCCTTCAGCCGCTCCACGGGTTTGGAGTGCCATCTGCACTCGCTCCCTATCGTCCGGTGAACAGGTTCACCGGACGATAGGCCGGTATACAACTTAAAGGCCAGCTGCAGCCAACATTAGAGTACTCCAAAAAGAAAATTATACATATATAAACCTTCCTCTTGAATCAATCTATCTATTACTGAAAACTACATTAAAATCTGATGCGTAATTTAAAAGATCCAAGCGTATAGCCAGCGGAAACTTTTTTTATGTATAATTTTTTTATGTATGTATTGTAAATGACTGTTAATAAACTGAAATTTAAGATAGTAAGTAAATTGGCCTTTAACTTAGGAACTGGTTGTATTTCGATGTAATTATGTATGATATATATATGTTTATATATAAGAATTACGTGTCACGTTGTCCGCAATGGACTCCTAAACTACTGAATCGATTGCAAATTTGATTTGCCCATTGTGTTTGATTTTAATTTGATTCAAATTGAAATATAGGATATCTTATATCTCAATTTATAGTCGCAATATTATTTATATTATATTATTTAACATTAGCCACAGCAACGAGTGGTCGGGTCTGCTAATGTAACTATATATTTCTAAGGTATAAACTATTAAGAAGGAGACCTTTATTCAGCAATACATATCTTCCGGGCTGAAATGATTATCATGATGATGAACTATTGAGATAATAGACAATAATCTGTTTTTATTCACAACCGACATTTATATAAAAAAATAAACGAGTATTATTCTCATTTTAAAATAGAACAATATATAATAGTTTTATAGTAATGGAATAACTATTACAGACATGCAGTTTACCTACTTAATTAAAAACTTGTACTTAGCAGACCAACAAAGAATACCAGACGGAGCATATTCTAAATGAAAAATGAGACACAAAATTATAATCAAAATAATCACAATCACAATTGCTTATGCACTTAAATGACGGTGTTTATTGCTTGTAGAAATATTCTTCGGGTAATTTTTCGCAAATATGTTGTTAGAAAATTTTTAATTACATGTACAAACAAATATAAATTTATAATGTATAAAATAAATATAGCTGTAAGTTGGTCCCATGCAAATTTAAAAATGATAGAATAAAATATTGTGTAATCAAGTAATTCAAATTATTAATAATTCGGAATGCCTTGCTTCTGAACATACAAATAGTTCCAAAAGTTATCTTTTAATAATACATCGTAATACTATTATACGTACATTACAGTAAAATTGTTTTTCATTTTCATAATTTTATGTTTTTAATCGAAAACTCTTTAGAATCAGTGTAATGCATTCTCCATTAATTACTAACCAAAGCACAGACTAGTCTACAATATTTATATCAACATAAAAAAAACAAAATATAAATATAATACCTTATTTACAATTATTAGCAACAGATGAATATTAAATGTCGTGCTTATACGACATAATATCAAAGGTAAACCGAAAGCGACTGAAAATAAGATATTAATCTGTAATTAGAGTAAAAAATAATGTTGAGGATAATACGAACATAAATGACCGCATACGTATGCGTGTTTTGATTATACATAGTGCTCCGTCTGGACTTTTTCATTGCTCTGTGGTTGTAACATACATTTTTAAATGCATCTATAGGTACGCTTACATTCTAATAGTAACATTTTTTTTTATTATTATATATACCTACCATTTTATGATAAACTTTCAAGCCTTAAACATTATAAATTTGACAGAAATATATATTTAGGATTATTTTCTGTGGCAGTTTATATAATATTTCTTTATATATATAATAGATGTCTAAAATTATAAATAATGATAATTCCAGACTATTTTAATATTAACAACAGTAGAAATCCAGTTCTTAAATCACACAAATTAATACTTTTACAGAAACCTTTCGGAAGAAATTAACGAATCTAAAGTAAAAATAGTATCAAAATGCATTGCGTGATTTAGAAGAAATAAGAGGAGAAACAGACAGATGTAACAGCCACTTTGTTTTATAGCATTATAGAAGTATTTACAACTAGAGTTTATAGTAATCCAAAAATATTAAATATAGATTTTGTGCCCGAATTTGGTCATTTATTTAAAAGTATTTATAAATTATAAATATTTTAATCATACGATTGAAATATTGATCAATAGAAATATAAATAAGAGTATATATTTAAATATAGTTACTACGACGCACCACAATATAACATCTATTTAAAAATATAACTAAATTGAGAAACTTAAGCAAAGTAAATTAACGCGATTAAGCTCAGTTTTAATTTAATTAAAAATTTAAATTCACATCATTAAACCAGATTAATGAATTTAATGATGTTGTAGTTTAAAAATTATTGGAAAAAATTACAAAGAGAGCCAATTCGTTGAAATCAACTCAACCTACTTAGTCTCGTTTAATACCATTCAATTGCTATTTTGTACAAAAATAGTTTAATATCAATATTTAAATATAAAAACAATACATTCCGATACACCGACAATACACCGACTTACACTTGATATGTATTCTATTTATCCTACTCACATAGTTTGTCGTAACATTTGAACATCCTAACTCAATGACTACATAATCGAATTACTTGATATATTTATAATATTTTGTTTAATTCCGCTATCATTAGCATGTGTGAGACCACAAATATTGAGTGCCTGACCACTGCTTCTGGAAGTGTTACGACTTTCTCTGTTGGTGACCAAATTCCGACCGTTATTGAATCTACACACATATAGTGAAACGCGTTTCGCCTCTGAACGAGGTCATCATCAGGAATTGAATAGAGTTCGGATGTAGCTTGGAAGCTTAGTGTAGACTGTTCGGCGACCAAACAGCGACTTCACTTAACGGACGGAATTTGGCTGAAGGTCTTCACGCTTCTAGTGACGATGGTCAGGTTTCCGCACTGAATATGTTTGGTACACACATGCTAATGGTAGCGGAATTATAAAAACTAGTATAAATCCATTAAGTAATGAAATGGACTTCAGCAAAATAACATCTAATTCGATAAAATATATACATAATTGGACCCTGTACTAGCTGACACCTTTCTCTTCTTCGGGCCACAGAATTTCTGGGTGATTTAACATATAATATGTCATGTGTTTCTCACTACCATACGTCGATGCTTTCGTCCCCAAACACATCAAGAACTGACTCTTCTCTAAATTCTTATCACAGTCCACAGAATGGAATTTATGCACTAAACTGTCATCGGCAGCTCTATAAACTGTCAAGTTTGATTTTATCAATGTCTCAAATAAATGCACATCCTCTAACCCCCAACCTTTTATACTTAAATTGAAGCCGCCTACCCTATCAAAATCGCACTTATAAATACTAAGGATGCCAAATCCGTACTGTCTAAAGTATCCATTATCATCGTTTATGTCTTTAGAGTACTTTAGATTAGCAATTTCCCGGTCGCTCTTTACACTTTCATCACTCACTATATTTTTATCATCTACATCAGAATTCGTAACGGGAGTTTCACCTTTAAACATATTATAGTCTTCACCATTCACCACTTCAGGGTTATATTCACTGAACACTATTGGAGAGAATGCTTGATAGTATTTAATGGTATTTATCCTAATTCTCCTGAGAGTCACAAAATTGAACATCATATCTACATCTATGAAGAACACTAAATCATCACCTGAACACAATTTGAGGCCTTCAGTCAACGCCGCCCCTCTGGAGAATGTAGTCGATCCCATCTCAACCAATTTGATCTCCTTTCCATATGTATCTTCATAGTAATTAATTAAAGACTCCGCATTTTTGTAGTCTAACGGATTCTTACTATCTAAATAAAGTACAACTATTAATCTCACAGCCTCGTTGCTTTTTAATACGATGTCCTCATAGTTCTTCATGAATCTCCCGAAAATCTCCTGTCTGCCCAACAGCGGTAGTATGAAATGTATCTTTCGATCAAAAACAGCGTATTCCGGTTCGTCGTTCCATTGTAAAACTTTGGGAAGAGTGTGGTGAATCTTCATTAGGCTGCTCTCCAATGCTCCTCTAACATTGAGTCTCCCGAAATCTAGAAAACTGTTCTGCTGTTGACTCGACTCGTCGAAGTCTTCGTAATCGTTAATAAACTCTTTGTCGCTGCTCTCTTTGAGAATTTTTGGGTCTTCGAATGGCGGAGGCTCTCCCATTGGTAGCTCTCTTACCTCCATGGCTGAAAATGAAAACTATTTTTAGAATCTGGTACATAGAATAATATATTGACCACAGTTTTGTGCGTAGACATATTTATTACTTTCGCCGACGATTTTATAGATTCTACGGTCGGTTTTTATTTTTATTCTACGTGATTTTATTGTTGATTTTCTTGGCCGTTATAAAGCATTCACAGCGAATTAAATGATTCTAGTCTTTCACATATTGTACTCAAGGAGCAAAGTATATTAGACCGAGTTCTTAAATTTGAGTCAAATTTTTGCTTATAGGCTGTTGAAGACAATTTTTATTATTGGACTGTTTATTATTAATATGTAGGTCTAGCGATTGAGCACACTGCTTTACTTCCGATTGTCGTAAGTTTTATTCCTCGCAAGGTGAAAATCATTTGTATTCACGAGTATGATTGTTTTTATGTTATGGTCTGGGTGTTTTCAATGTATATTACGTGTGTATTTAAAAAATATTTAAGTAATTCTATCAGTTGTCTAGTATCCAGAACATATGCTTAGCTTAGCTTGGGGCTAGATGACGCTGCATGAATTGTCCTGGATTATTCTTATATAATTAAAATAAATTTACTCTAGTGGGAAACTTATATAGGTTGATGAACACGATAATAATCCCAGCCCCTAAAGTTGGGGTAAATAATTAGCACAACTTTTATTTCGAACTATTCCAATGCTGTTAGCCGCAGCTGGCCTTACAGCTTCGTCGAACGATAGAAGCGAGTGCAGATGGCACTCCAAACCCGGACCTAGACTGGGTGAAGACTAACTCCTGCCTGACAGTTAAGAGTTTAGTCCGAGGACACCGCTAGGGATTTGAACCTCGGGGTTCAGGCCGTCCTAATTTCGTTCTTGAATTTGGCGGACGATCTCTTGAAGAGGCAACCGAGGACGCCGATACGAACTAGTACACGACTGGGGGGGAAGGAGATTGTTAGTAATGTGGATTAATAACCCATTGCTAACAATGTACCATGTCAGGTCGACCTCCACGCGGTTCCCCCTGGAAACCATCGTGTTAAATTATATATATTTTTGTTCTGTTTATATTTTGTTGCATTTTGTTTATGTTTATAATTTTGCACCGCCAACAATTATTCTCTGCACCACCTATGGTTGACTGGTAGAAAATACCGCATGGTGTTAAGTCCGCCAAATGTACTATACTATATATTATATTGTGTGCATTAAAGTTAAATAAATAAATAAATAAATTTCCGGTGAATTTGTCACGATGGGCTAACTGATCTGACTTCATGTTCATCTTATAATCCTCCACTGGTGCCCCGTCAGCGTAAACCGTTAGCGCAGGCGGGTGCACCATTCCATTATCATAAACTAAAAAAAAAACTAGTACACGACTCTTACTAATTATATAACACGTAATAAGGAATTAAGAAAAACCTTTTACCACTAAAAGTCTGATAATGTACAACAACTAACATGAAACTAAAAAGAATATTTACCAGTAAATGTCTGCTGCAAGTATGCGTGTCTCCTCACAGAAGCTGTCATCTTCCGTCCCCGGTACCTTCTGTACTTGAGCAACAAGTCCAGTATGTAATCGACGCCGTGCAGCGGGTCAAGCCGAACGTAACCGTATAACAACTCGTTAAAGTCGATAATCCGTCCGCGCTGACGGGACGGCGCGTTGATGATCTCCATTACCTGGAATGATTTAACAAAAATATAATAGAACAGTTAAATAAATATCCCTGGACAATTAACACAGCGCCATGTAGTCACAGTAAGCAGAGCTTGTGTTATGTGTAGTACTACTTACTTACTTAAATACTACTTACTCTGACAGGGGGGAAGTGGATTGTTAGCAATGTGGACTCATGACCCCATTACTAGCAATGTACTATGTCAGGTTAACCTCCACGCGGTTCCCCCTGGAAACCAACGTGATAAATTCCTGGTCAATTTGTCACGATGGCTAACTGACCTGACCTCATGTTCATCATCCTCCACTGGTGCCCCGCCAGCGTAAACCGTTAGCGCAGGCGGGTACTCTATTCCATTATCACCCATAAAAAATAAACTTACTCTGTCATTTTGTAAAACATAGATAATATATAGAAAAAAACATATTGCAATTTTTACTACGTCGTACGTCCGTAAGTAACTTCAAATCTTGTATTTTAAAATTGGGATTGGCAACCCTAAAATATTGTTAAAGAAATATATGCCGTTAAAATGCTCAAGTTTCGAATAAATCTATTTTAGTGTTACTATTTCCATTTAGTAAGTGTTTTTATTTTCTGTAAGTTCCATTAAAGTCGAGTTTGGTGATAAATTTTAACAGAACTCACCTCTCTGATGACGTCATCGATGGCTTCCCTCAGTGGGCCTTCGATTCTTCTCTTCGGGTTGGAGTGACTCACGGAATAAATTGACTTACTGATGAAATCGAAAGGCATTATCTCATCAAAATTGTCTGGATTGTGTCTGTTCATATCTATGGGTGCACCTGGAATATACAAAATACTTGTATTTACCTCCGACTCTGCATGAAATAGATTCTTTTTCATGATTGATTCTCTTTGATGATCATGACGGTCTAGCGGCTACTATTCCTCGCACGGTACAAACATTTGTATTCATGAGTATGATTGTTTGTATCGATCTGGGTGTTTTCTATGTATAATATATATGTATTTACAAAAGTAATGTATCTATGCATTTGTATCAGTTGTATAATATTCATAACACAAGCTGTAGCTAGGTTAGCTTGGGACTAGATGGCGCTGTGTTAATTGTAAGGTTATTTATTTATGTATATTATGTATGTATTTAAAAATATCAAAATATTTACATGTGTTAACTATAACACAAGGTTATTTATTCATTTGATGATTATCTTCATATCTTAATAATATCATAAACGCAAAAGTTTGCGAGTATGGATGTTTGTTACTCTTTCGCGCAAAAACTACTGAACGGATTTTGATGAAACTTTACAGTAATATAGCTTATACATCAGAATAACATATAGGTTATATTTTTTATTAAAATTTATATATTTAAATTTAACTAGCTGAATCCGCGGGAACATTATATTTCTATTGGATCTAATTTACTTAAACGTGTTCTCTAGTTATAAATGTAAATCAATTGCCACACCTAATGTCCTATTTTTGTCTATTTTTTTTTTTACTTCTTAGTAACCTATTCTTTTCTTTACTTGTTTTGTTTTGTACCGTGGTTGGTATGAATTAATATTGTTTTTGCTCGTTATATTTTATAAGTCTCTTGTTATTGTGTAAATCGTATTTGTTAGTTATATATTTAATATTTTACATTGTTCTTTTCACTTAATATTCATGTGCGAAAGTCTAGTGCTAGGCCCCACTTCGCTTGGATATATTAAGATAACATTTATGGCAATCTAAATTATTTCTATTTTTATTATATATTTTTATTAATATTTAGTTAAGAGCTGTTTAGCAATTACATACAGACACTTGAATTTTATTTATTTGTATAATAATAATAATCTCAGGACAATCTCAGCGCCATCTAAACCCAAGTTAAGCTAAAGCTTGTGTTATAGGTACTAGATAACTGATATAAATACATAGATATTAGAATACAAAACATCCAGACAGATACAAACAATCATACCCCCATTAATACAAATGTTTGTGCCGTGCGAGGAATCGAACCCGCGACCATCGGAAGTACAGTGCTAAACCGCTAGACTACTGAGGCCGTCAAATATGATTTATTTAAAAAAAATACTTGGAAAGGTGACAGTATTGTTCTTTAATGCATAACGGACAGTACAAGTTCAATAACATCTTATCTAAATGTACTTTAACAAAAGAAGCTTGCAAAATTTCCACCTAGCATTGTTGTTAATTTGTTACGGTTTTGCGGTCTACCCTAACAATGTACCTACGGAGAGTGTTTCTGGCGCTATTTATAACTGATAATATCTATAGATACCAATATTATATAGAGGTAAAGTATGTGAGTTTGTATGTTTGTAACAATCTCCGTTAGTCGTATCCGTCAGGCGGGAGTTGGCCTTCAGCCTCCTCATGATTCATAACTCCTTCCTTTTCTTTGGAGTGCCATCGGCATCCGGCCCCCTATCATCCGATGAAGCTGTAAAGGCCAGCTGCGGCCAACAGCATTAGAGTAGTCCGAAAAAAAATCTCCTTTAGAATAACATAACTTAGTAACCAATATTATTTAGAATAACATAATTTAGTAACATAATGTCAAATTTGCTCCTGAGGTTATAAAACAGACTTATAAAATGTTTCTTTTAAATTTAAATTAAAATTTAAAGTAATTTATTCATGTAGGATATTTTAGCCGCTTATGAACGTATTTTTTTTATGTTATAATTTTTTCCCACCGTCCAGTTCAGTATATAGTATAGTATTCAGTAAATACCATTTAGAAGAACTGGCAAGAAACTCAATTGAATTATTTTTTTCTTTTTAATAGCTAGTTTATTTACAATGTATATTTATATAGTTGTCTATGTCTAACATTAAATGAAAATCCCGTGCATGAACAACTATTGCGTTGTACGTCCTTCAAGTAATCATTGCTCAGTAAATATGATTTAGCAGATGTTTTGAATTTATTTAACTTTCTTACCTAATATAGTATTGTTGCCTAAATACCCAGATTCCCCAAGTTTCACGGGGAATAAAGGGATATCACCAGGCAACACAAAGTCCTCGACCTGGTCAGCAGGCACTGACAGCTCCCGCAACGACATCGCGATGTCTCTATGAAGATCCAGAGTGTCCTCCCTTATCTCTTGAATTCGAAGGTTCTGGAATGTGAAAATTAAATTGTTTAATAATAATAATGAAAATCAAAATGAAAAAAAAAATATTTCTTTAAAAACAATTCAGTTACAATAACATAGTGTTGGGATGACTTAGTAAGCATAGAAATGGCTGTGTCAGTTATAAACACATATGACAATGTATATGGAAGAGAGGACCTTCCATGTATTTGTTTTCTTTTTAGATTTAAGACATTAGATAACTAATATTATAAACTAAAGCCAAGGTTACTTATTAGTATAAAAAAAATCAGGATAATTATAAACGCGGAAGTTTATGAGTGCCGATGGATGTCTGTTACTCTTTTACCCAAAATTACTGAATGGATTTTTAATGAAATCTTACACAATGAGAATCACTGGCAGTTTTATACATTCTTTTATCCATATACAAAATATGATGTTATTGATATACATTTTGTTTTATACACTTCTGTCACTGTGCTCTGTTATTATAAACGTCTACAGGCATCTCTCTTTATTTTCATTTATTATTATTATGAATAATGTTGTTCGCTGACCCGGCGAACTTCATAAATCCTAAAAGTCCATTTCTTAATATTTTAGTTTTTTTTTTAATACTTATTCTGCTATTCGGAACGCCTGGTCAGCTAATAAGATAGAAGAAAGTCAATAACTACATTATAGTCCAGTAAAATTATAATTTAAACTAGCTTTTGCCCGCGGCTTCGCTCGCGTTAATTTATCCCCTTAGAGGTAGAATTTATCAAAATCCTTTCTTAGTGGATGCCTACGTCATAGGAGCTTTATGCATGCAAAGTCTCAGCCCGATCAGTTTAAAATTGACAAAGTTTCATATAAACTTTCAACCCCTATTTTATCCTCTTGGGGGTAAAATTAATCAAAATCCTTTCTTAGCGAATGTCTATGTCATAACATGTACCTGCATGCCAAATTTCAGCCCGATCCGTCCAGTGGTTCGGGCTGTGCGTTGATAGATCACTACGTCAGTCACCTTTGAGTTATATATATTTAGTCATGATGTCACCAGTTTTGGCGCAATATATAAAAATAAGTTCGCACATACGTGAATAATAATATTCAGAAAGAAATTTCGATTTAAGTTAACTGGAAAAGGATGAAAAAATTTAAAAAAGGTTCGATAAACGCCTTTTCCTCAAAATAACGAAATAACGGAAAGAAATTAGAAAAAATGTTTTAAATAAAAGTTATAGACAAAAAAATTCTGCACAAATCAGTTGACGAGCCAAATTAGTTTTTTTTCTAATTTTTGTGGCTAAACAACAGCAGATAATGAAAAAATGAAGAGAACCTGTTTTGTGCAGATTTTTATTCTCTACAACTTTTATTTAAAACATTTTTCTATATTTCTTCACGTTATCGAGTTATTTTCAGAAAAAGCGATTTCAACCCTTTTTATTTATAAATTTAAAATTATAATCAACTATTATGTCACAAAATAAAAATTATGAAACGCCTATAATTATTTTAATAGTCAATAAAAAAATACAATATCACATTTTTTATTATGGCAGGTACCAATTTATTATATGTTTTTTTTTTTACTTATTCTAAATTAAGTTTTATTTTTATTCTTACTACAATATGATACTACAGTATGAATAATATTAATAAATAATTATAATTATGTACCTTAGTTGTACATTTAAGTTACGTAAATATTCTAAATTTACTTTATAGTTATTGTAAGTTACCTATAATAAATTTTTTTTACATCATAATTATGTACCTGTACAAAAACCGTCGGCAATATTAATATGTATATTACATATATAAAAACCGTCTACTATATATATGAGAAGTAAAAACACGACAACAATATACTTTACGGGATTATCTCAGATTAGTATTATATCTTTTGAATTTGCTATTATTAATAATGCATCACCAAACATATAGATTATTGGAGAACATACAATATTGAAAGTCCGTTGCACCCCGATATCATGTCATTACATCACAGTTATTTACGTTCTCATTAATTTTGCTGTTGACGTTATCACCAATTATTATATTACACCTGCCGGTATTGTGTTTTGTTTTTTTTTTTATTTATTTATTTAGGATCAAAAACAGGTTCACAATTAGGAAACTTATAATTATTTTACATTTTCTATGTACTATGTTATTGTAAACCCAACATGCATGATCACAAATTATATTAAAGTATTAAGATATGTGGGTCGCATACATACTAAACGCATACAAACTAATATATTTTCTACTTATAATTATGATGGTGTATACGTAGTGGGTTGAATGAGGAAAAGAGATATGAGATATGTGTGTTTCAGGTTTTACTATAAATACAATATTTATTTTACAAAAGAGGGCCATTCGCTGCATTTATAGCATGGGTTCCAGGGAGTCTTTGCGAGAGTGCTTTAAGGAATCAAATATCCTCACCGTTGCTTCTCAATATATTTATGAAAATATCATGTATGCCAGGAAGAATATAGACAGTTTCAAAAGAGTTAGTGATTGCACTAATAAAAGCTTACGTAACAATAACAAACTGATTTTACCTAAATGTCTACCTAAAATTATTACAAAAAAATTGACTTTCATAAGCGGTTAAAATGTCCAACATTAATAACTATTTTTTTATTTAGATTTAAATTTTGATTAATTCTATATATTTAGTGAATATAAAAAATAAATTAAATTACATCTATTACTTTATTAATTACTTTAACAACAGACATGTGCTAATTATCTATTGTATTTTTATAGATGTATAAAAGAATTCAATTTCCCAAATTTATATCAATATGTGATATTACGGTAACCGTTTACCATCAGATGGGCCGTATGCTTGATTGCCAACTATGTGGTATAAAAAAAAACTTTTTCATTAAAAAATTTTCCAAAATGTTGGAGTCCTGTATAGTCAATACTAACAGTCAAATTTAATTGCATAGAAGGATTGTATTGAATTGTATATTATATTAGTAACTAGCTACTCGCCCTGGCTTTGCCCGGGTGTATATGTATTATACATATAAACCTTCCTCTTGAATCACTATCTAATGAAAAAACCGCTTCAAAATCCGTTGCGTAGTTTTAAAGATTTAAGCATATATAGGGACGGACAGACAGCGTTAGCGACTTTGTTTTATACTATGTAATGATATCTATTTATGGACAGAAAAATCTAATACAATAAATTTAAAAATAAACTAAACAGATATGTTTATAAAATGAGGATAAAAGGGAATATAAAATCATAAAATGTGACGGAAACTAAACAATCTGCATACACCGGCGAATGTGCTAGAACTTTCACGTCTTCACATAAAACATGTAAGAGGTAGCACATGTGCTTATAATACTTACGGAATCTGCACTGAAATTGGTTGTGTTCATATTAAACAGATTGCTGTACAGACGAAATTCCGTACAGTCGTAAAACTTCAAAGAATAGAATAGAATAGAAAATTATTTATTCAAATAAACTTACATTGAAGGACTTTTGAATAGTCATCGCTTATTTTTTCTTTTTATTCACAAGAAGAACGAGGAAGAAACTTGCGTGTTGATCTTTTATATAAAATATATAAATTATATATATTTCATATAAAATATAAATTATATAATTTTGTTTTAACTTTAAATGTGTGAATACAAAAAATATATTATGAAAATTAAGTTATGGTTTCAAATTGTTCAAAAATATAAATACTACATACACATACACCAAAATAACCTTTTTTACAATTTTTGTCTGTCTGTCTGTTTGTTCCGGCTATTCTCTGAAATGGCTGGACCGATTTTGACGGGATTTTTTTTAGCAGGTAGTTGATGTAATAAGGAGTAACTTAGGCTACTTTTATTTTAGAAAATTTCTTTTAGTTTAGAAAAATATAGTAAAACTTTTTTGTTATATTCCACACGGACGACGTCCTGGATACAGCCAGTATATACTAAAGCATTTTTGAATAGTCATATACGTATATTATTTTTTTTAATCCATCGCTCATTCGCTCACTTAGGCTACCTTTAGAAAAAATCTTTTATTTTAGAAAATTAAAGTAAAATTCCACGCGGACGAAGTCGGGGGGAACAGCTAATAATATAATAAGACTGTAGATTTGAGAATCTTCCTTTTTGAAGTCGATTGAAAAGCATACATTGTGTTTATGTAAATAACCTATTTACCTCATTATATGACACATACAGACTAATACGGAACATTGTTCAGCTCACACTCCGGCCTGTTTACATAATACAAGTACTTCCGCGAATTGCAGCCTACCACTAAAATATTTGACTGGGTAAATAAGTTTGTGCTATAATCTGTTCGTAATCTAACAAAACACACAAAGGATTTAAGATAACATACGTACTAACAAAGTCATCCATATTAATATTATACATGCAAATGTGTGGCTTTTTGTCTGTCTGGCTATTTATTTATATTGTTAACCGGGTCTTAACACGTTAACAATATAAATCATGTATATTAAAACACGAAAATTTGAAAGTAACTGTCTGTCTATTTGTTACCTTTTTACGAATAAACGGCTGGACGTATGATGATGAAATTTGTGATGAAGATAAAGAAGAATTGTAAGATTTGAGAAGGGGTATTTCTTATCCAAAAAAAATGCAGAGAGTGCCTCGAATAACTTATTCTCCGTAACACTGTGTTGGTCCCCACCCCCAATCTATCCCCTGTGCAATTGAAACGAGGAGGGGGGGAGGGGATTGTCAATAATGTGGACTAATGATCCCATTGCTAGCAATGTACCATGTCAGGTCGACCTCCACGCGGTTCCCCCTGGAAAACATTGTGATACATTTCCGGTGAATTTATCACGATGGGCTGATCTGACTTCATGTTCATCCTATCATCCTCCACTGGTGCCCCGCCAGCGTAAACCGTTAGTGCAAGCGGATGCACCATTATCATCTTCTAAAAAAAATTCAAACGAGGATCTGAATTAAGAGAACCCGAGTTCAGGTTCGAACCTCTAACCTCAGAGTAAAGTTGTATCCGTCAGGCAGGAGTTGACTTTCAACCGCTCCATAAGTCCTTCGGGTTTGGAGTGCCATCTGCACTCGCCCCCTATCGTCCAGTGAAACTGTAAAGGCCAGCAGCCAACATCATTAGAGTAGACTAAAAAAAGTAACACGGTGTGCCAATCTTACCTTAAAGTATGAGTGGAGTCGATACATATGTCTATGGTCTTTGACTGGGTGAAGAGTAATGGCTCTATGGACTTCTCTCTTCTTCAGGCGGCCGGTGTATGCTGCGGAGCCACTGCTGTTGTGATGCAGAATCGTTTGCATCTATAACATACAGAAGTACATGTTCATTTACGTGTTATACCTATTTAGGAACATGAAACATACTGTTTATTTATATGTTACATATGCAATACACAGCCCTATCCAAAAGTAATGAAGAACAGAACTCACAAGGGCCGATTTATGAACGAGGCGGCAGTGTCACAATTTCAATACCTATAGTTGGACAGTTTTAATTGGAATATTGTAAATTTCAGTAAAACTAGCAGATTATACAGAGTCCAAATCGTCCAAACAGTCTAAATCGGTCCAGCCACTTTAGAGATATGATTACGACATATGCGAGTAGTAAAAAACGGTTGTTTCAATATTACAAACAGACACTCCAATTTTATTTATATGTATAGATGTGAAAATAGGGATGTTTGTTACACTTTCACGCAAAAACTACTGAACCATCATCATGAAATTCTGTATACATGTTCTTGGAGGTATTAGAATGAACATAGGATACTTTTTTTTGAAAAACAAATATTTTTTATAAAAATAAAAAAAAATCATCATATTGATTCATTACTACTGTATCTACAGGATTCAATGCGAGCGAAGCCGCGGCTAAAAGCTAGTCATATATAACGCTACAGTGGTGAGGTGATAACCACCGCGATACACCATTATCATCCATAAACAATCGACTTTACAGCATCCAGAAGAGAAAAGGTAATGATGACACATGTAATCTTGCTCTGTCACCATACGGAGAGAGTACTATCAATCACAGCGTGTTACAACAAAATGCGTCGTATTATAATCAACATAAAACAGGTTTTAAACTGCCCTGACCTTCAAATGATCTTAGAGATACCAGAAACAATTGAATATTAAAATATATACAGTTAACGCTTTCGTTGCTGAAAGCGAGACGATGCAGCGCTGGGGCCGCGATTTGCACACAATAGATAATACAATGCTCATAAAAACTAGTCTCGCCATAATCGGTCGTCTGTATGTCACACCGGTTTGAATTCACTCTCTTCTCTTGAGGAGATTCCTAACATACATAGTTGCAAATCTGATGAAATTAGAGCAATCGTGCAGTCAGCATATTTGTTTTAAAACATCCCAAACATGCTGACGTAACCAAAAGAATAGAATAGAAAATCCTATATTCAAATAAACTTAATTTAATATTTATCTATACATATAAATAAAATTGGAATGTCTGTTTGTAATATTGAAATAACCGTTTTTTACTACATGCATATGAATATAAATATATTCATATGCATGTACCGTACATACACCAAAATAACATTTTTTACAATTTTTGCCTGTCTGTCTGTCTGTCTGTTTGTCCGGTTAATGGCTGGACCGATTTTAACAAGACTTTTATTGGCAGGTAGCTGATGTAATAAGGAATAACTTAGGCTACTTTTATTTTAGACAAATTCTTTTAGTTTAGAAAATAGTTTTACTGTTTCACGCAAAAACTACTGAACTATTTTGTTAAAACTTTCCAGTAATATTGCCATTTGTTTATATCTCTATAAACTTTGTGTTATTTAACCACTGTCAACGGAAAACACTGCAAATTGTTAATATAATACTAAAATATTATAAGTATACACACACACACACACTTATACTTATTGTATAAGTATATACGTACACACTTATACTTATTGGCAGGTAGCTGATGTAATAAGGAGTAACTTAGGCTACTTTTATTATAGAAAAATTCTTTTAGTTTAGAAAAATAAAGTAAAACTTATTAACTTTTTTGTTATATTCTACACGGACGAAGCCCCGGATACAGTCAGTATATAATAAAACATTTTTGAATAGTCATATACGTACTTTAATTTTTTTTAATCCATCGCTCATTCGGAAAGCTGTCTCATCATGACAAGAACGAGCAAGAAATTTACATTTTTAAGTCGAAATGTGTAAATGCAACCTACCAACTAGCAGTAATTTACTAGAGTCAAAATATTAAATCAGTCGTAATGATTAGAGCAGACCAGTCCCTACAAGCAGCACACGTTCACGATTATGATGGATGAGACAGCCATTTCTGCTTTTAAGAGTATAATTTATTGACTTGTACACAACAATAATGACAAAAAAACAAACAACAATTTACATAGATTACAACATGGAGTCAATGTGGACCACAACTCAGCATAAAGCTGAAAACATGGCTTAGATCATCGTATAATCTAACTTATTTTATAAACGCTAGTGATTCTATTGTGAGTATAGACGGATGACGGGTGACGGACTCACGCAAAAACTACAGAACGGATTTTGATGAAACTTTGCAGTATTATAGCTTATACATTATAATAACACATATGCTATATAAACATGTGAGGGAAACCACGGGCATAGTTAGTTATTTATATTGATAACTTTAATATTTTTTTATTCGATTCGCACACGCAGACTAAGTGAATTGAAACGACCAATCACTGACCAGTTTCTTGACTTGACTTTCATAATCAGCCAATCGTAACAGCAAGCGGCTGATCACGTGACAATTTTCGTGATCGGAAGTCTCGTCTCTCGATTCGATGCGAACGGCGGTTGCAACGTAGCTAAGTGTTATAAAATCCACATTTAAGCCAAAGAACCCTATGAACCATAATCATTCCTCAAGTTGTGAAACCTGAAGTGGACAGCAGATCCGAAGTGGAAACCAGAAGAGCAAAACGCAACAAGGGAGAATCGATCCCCGGCTCTTCCAGGGGAATATACGACAATCCGGCTATATGTAAGTAGTGCTTGGTCTATATCTTTCCACCAAGACTAGCGTATGTGATCATCTTACATAAGCTGAGTCTCCCAAAGTATAATCGATACTACCGAATTGATACATATTGTATTATAATAAATTATTGACTATCGGATTCTCTACAATACTTAATAAATTAAAAAAATAATAGACAGGATATAAACAAAATTACGCTTCAGTGACAATAGTCGGATTTTAGATAATATTGACACATGAAATATGGCTGCTAAATCAAATGAAGCGAGTCCAACACTATACTACTCCTATTTTATTATTTCCGCCTCTTTGTAACGTCTGATATACCATATTTATACATAACCGGTATTTAAGTCTATTACCTGAAATTGGTCACAAAAAAACAACTCGATTAAATTTGAAGTTACATTAAATTAAGTATAAATAGTAGTAACTAGTTATATTAAAAGTTTTTATTACATCTTATTACATTAAATGTCATTGTCAAATACAATAGCTTTGCAAATGATCGGTGAGTATTGGTATTGTTGGTCCTTCGGGCCGGATATCTGATTTTAAAATAAATTAAATAAATAAGTAACGCACCAATCCTTTGCAAAGCTAATATATTTGACACAACTATAGAACTAAACAAAAAAAAAAAGTAAAAAACTATGAAAAAACTACACTATAAAAAACATGGTTCAAAATAGGAAACGAAATATAAAAGTAGGTCTGCCAACAATTATAACATATGAAACGCGAAAGTTTGTGAGTACGCATGGATGTTTGTAACTGTTTCACGCAAAAACTACTGAACAATTTTGATAAAACTTTCCAGTAATATTGCCATTTGTTTATATCGCCATAAACTTTGTGTTATTTAACTAGTGTCAACGGAAAACACTGCAGATTGTTAATATAATATTAAAATTTTATAAGTACACGTAGGCACACTTATACTCGTACATTAGACTAATACTTGGCTATAAATTTCATGCGGGGGGAAACAGCGAGCACAGCTAACAATAAAAAAAGCAGAAATTTGTGGGTAACGGCATATCTAGGATAGATCTTACTAGACTTCACACTGTCAACATATAAACAGTATTTTCTATGTATAGGTTGACTTACAAATAAGGCTCCCATTCAATCATACGTCCTTCCAATTTGCTCAATAAAATGTTTGCATTTAATAACAGTGTCTGCGCTCTTGATAGCGCAATTCATATAAAAAGACGCCTAATTTATGGCCGTTGGTGTTTGACACAATTTCAGATCAATGTACTGCAATTTTCAAAACGATTGAATCATTAATGACTAGATAACACGCGTAACTTGGTCTGTGTCACATTTTCCTCTTTTTGGAATATTTTTAATTGCAGCTTCGCTCGAATTGGTTGTAGCGTGATGTTATATAGCCTATAGCCTTCCTGGGTAAATGGACTTACCAGGGGGAAAGGCCTTGTTAATAATGTGGACTAATGATCCCATTGCTAGCAATGTACCATGTCAGGTTGACCTCCACGCGGTTCTACCAGGAAACCAATATAATAAATTTCTGTTGAATGTGTCAGGATAGGCTAACTGACCTTACTTCATGTTCTTCCTACCATCCTCCTCTGGTGCCCCGCCAGTGTAAACCTTTAACCCAGATGGGTGCACCATTCCATTATCCACTCCAAAAAATAGCATATAGTCTTCCTGGATAAATGGTCTATCGAGGGGAGAAGGGAATTGTTAGTAATATTTTTAGAACATTTTTCATTGCAGCTCCGCTCGTATTGGTCGTAACGTGACTTTAAATAGCCTACCTAGAGGAAAGGATGTTGTTAGTAATATGGACTGATGACCTATTGCTAGCAATGTTAGTATAATACGGAATGAGCCTAAAGTGACCCTGAAAATTACCCCTATGTGTACAAAGTCTGCTGACCGTGACGATGATGGTTTTGTCACGGTACAAAAGAAGAGGCGCACAAAGAGGGTCAATCGAAACCATTGTGGCACAGCACTGACAGGGCCCAACTTCTTGTTACGTGCCGCAACACCGACCACAGCAATGTACCTATCTCGCCTACACTACGCTACCAAGGAACAGGACATTGTTGACTACATCCGGACTAAAAGCAACCTGACATTGAGGGTGACGCAGTTGGAATCGAGCCACAACGCGAGCTTCAAAGCGTTCATGGTCCTGGTCTCCACCAATATGCTGCCCACCTTCATGAAGGAGGACTACTGGCCGAAGGGGGTGGTCTATCGGCGCTACCGTGGCAGATTGCCGCCGTCA